TATCTATTATATTATCCAAGGAATAACTGGCATGAAAGACATTAAGAAGAGAACAACCTTAAAAACAAAGGCAAGTGGGTGAGGAGATAGAATTTGTTCTGTTCTATTTAATCTCTACTTTACTTTTCTTACCTCATATTGGCCTTGAAACCAGGATATCAAAGCTCTCTTTGTATGCAGAATTAGCATGGAAGTTGTATGATGTTCTGAATTTTTAAATTTTTTCTGTGTGCTTTTGAAAGTTCTTCTGTCAAATTTAGAACTTTGTGATATGATGAAAAGACAGCTGTGAAGGTAGCTGGCCAATCCCTTCGTAGGTAGATCATTTTCACATGGTTTAGCTTTGATTCCAAGGGAAATTGTACTTTTCTTCTCTTATTAGTTAGTACCTTTAATAGGGGCTTTCATTAATCAACACGTCTTGAGAAAAGCTGGTCTTTCTCCATCGAGCGGAATAAATCCTGCTGTGTGGGGTAATGGTAATGGCGCTAAGGCTTATGTTTTTGGAATGTGTTACAGGGAACTTAGAGATATGAAAGGAAAAAATCATTCTTCAGCAGCCACAGACTTAATTTCTTAATCGAGTTTAAAAAATAATAAATAACCAAATATACTAATTTCCACTAAGCTCTCTGATGTCCACCTTTCAGATTTAATCACCACAGGAGATAGTGTCACAGAGAGAGTCTGTTAGAATTACTCCAACATCATTTTGTTCAACTGGCACCTCACCAAGCGGGACTTTATACCCTCAAAATAAGGACCTGCCTGATACGTACAAATGTCATTTATAAAGGAGCTCCTTAAAAGATTTCAGAAGCAGCAGTGTCAGTCTTATTAGAAAAGCATTAACTATCTTAAGCCTGGGTTTAAATAAATAACAATCTTGAACAAAATGAAGTATTAAAGCTATTTTCTATACATTTTCCAACAACCAGATGTTTGGAACTATGTTACACAACATCCAGATGATTGAAAATTTAAGTGTTTGTCATGATATTTGTCTTGGTGTTAGCACAGCTTATGCTGAGAAGTGTATTTTTGGAACTGCTTCAGTCATCTCCCTATAAAGTAGGTTGTCTAGAAGATTTTTTTAAGTGGGGGGGAAAAACTTTCAAAAAAAGCTGTGCCATACTCAATTAAAGGATATATTCATTATTAAACATTTTATTCAGATTATTTCATTATCTAGACTTCAAAGGGATCCTAACATCACTAGCTGTTAAAACGTTTATTTGGAAGTCCAGAGATGAAAAATGAACCAAGTTTTTGACCCGAGAACTATTGCTTCATCCTACTCTCATCAGTGATCTGATCATCTTTGCTTTACCAACCTCTCTCTCACACATTAATTTCTCCATCCTAAACAGGAGAACCCCTCACATTTGCTACTGTGTAACTTTGCTACTGTGTAATATATTATGCAGACCTCTTGGGGAGGAGAGTTCCAGGCAGAAGCAGCAGTAAGAAATGCCAACTTCCTGGGGCAAGAGCAAGTGTGATTTGTTGGAAGCACAGCTGGAGGCCCAGAGTCTAGAGCAGAGTAAATGGGAAAGAGTGGGAACTGACAATGTCAGAGAAGCATCAAGGGGCCAGATTACATAGGACGATTGGTCACTATAGGGATTAAGAATTTTTCTTATGAGTGAAATAGGAAGGCTTAGAGTTGTCGATGATCTGATTTAAACTCTAAAGTTCATTCTGTTTATTGTGGGGAGAACAAGGTCAAGGGCAGAAGCCAGAGACCCTCAGACAATTATAAAAATCCATTATAACAACAATTTAATTACTGTATTTTCACTTCCTGTTCTTTATGATAGTTAGTCATGAATATAATTTATCATCCTTGCTAAATTATAAATTCTGTGTGGGCAAGGATTCCAACAGATTATATCTTTACACATGAGTGTTCTTCAACTAAAAAAAAAAGTTTGATACCCAAAGAGTACAAGATGAAATTCTCACCACTTCTGTCCTTTTCCCACCCTCCCGCTCCCCTCTATCATACCCTAAATACTTTCCTTCTTTCCAGAATTTCTTCTTAATACAACATACACATATCTAGCAGTACCTCTTTGTGTACATGAAAAAAACAAAAACAAAACAGGGGGGAAGTGGAGAACAAAGAGGAGATAGATAGATAGGAGACAAAGTCCTTTTTCTCAAGGAATCGTATGTGTATATGCCTATTTCATATATTTTACATAATCATCTTATAGTTGAGCTTAAAACTACATATAGTATGTATAAGTATCTTATGTTTTTATAAAAATAGAAAGTCATTCCTAGGCCTTGCTATTCACAATTTGTAAAATTCCATATATGGTAATTTGAGTTATTTAGGTTCTACTTCAGTAGTGTAATCTGAGAATTGCTCTACAGAAGTCCAAGGAAATAATACCCCAATTTTCTTTTTTTCCCTGAGTCTCTTTCAAGGGTCTTCCTAATGTATGTCTTGAAAAGCTTTGGGTTGGGACCAATAATAATTATGGAAGATAGTTATCCAAGCCGAGGAGACACAAAGAGCCCCCCCCACCTTTTTTTTTTCATTTTTCTTAGTGAAGAAGTTAGAATCTCTTCTTCTGTGAAGGTCCCTGGCATGCCAGAACAGAGGAATAGTGCTTATGCTAAGATTACGAGTTAGAACCCAGATCAGGTCTGTGAAAGCTCTAGCATCTAAATACTAGTTACTCGCTGTGGTCTTCCTGATACCGCCCCCCCAAATAAAGGTAAAGCTGCTGCTGTCTCTAGGGAAAGGGAAATGCCAGGCAGAGTGTTCTAAATCAGACTTTCATGGTAAAATATCCATTAATGATTAATTTTCTGCTTCCTTTAGAATAGGACAGGTTAAGCAGTTGGTCACATTCAATAAATAAGAAATTACTTGCAGTAATGTCTGCAACATTCTAATCATCTTCCCATTTCTAAAAACTATTTTAAAAGTCTTTGATCTGCATTACGGTGAAAATGACATTGAATGTGGAAATAGAAGGCTTGATTATGAATTCAACTTTGCCATCCACTAACAGTGTGGCTTGGGCAAGTCATTTAACCACAAAATTCCATTTATATTCTAAGGATGAATTGAGCATAGCAATCTATACCTCACAGGGTTGTTATGAGCACCAGATAGGAAAAAGTGTGAAGGCCACAAATGCAGAGGTCACACAATAAACATTTGATAAACCCAGATATTAAATACAGACAGCGGAATTATCATAATCCTAGTAGTGGTATTTCAGTGTTCTATGCTATACCAGTACACATGTGATCTTGTGAAATGGGAACTATGTCCCCTGTATCTTCTTTCTGCATGTTATTAAGAATGACAATATACTATAATTGTTTAATTATGTCATTAAAGTGGGTTTTATTTTCTTCATTAAATACATCAGGAAAAGCTTTTCAATTAACAATGACCTTTATGACTTCTACTAGTTTGTATTCTATAGATGCTGAAGCTGACTGCAAATTAGATTCTGCAATGTACCTTGTTCCTTATTTTTTCACCCACTGATTAGTTTGATACAGCTGGCAGCAGCCTACCCTGTTGCTTTCAGCTTGCAATTTTGTAGCAATCTCAAAACACTGTGTTCAATCCCCCAAGGTGTTCTGCAGAAATGCTGTCAAACTATTTCGGTGTATGTGTATTTTCATTCTGTAGCTGTGCTTTGTACTCATTTAAGAGAACCAGTCTTTAATTTGTATCAGAACGTTTTCAGGTTGAAACTTAGAATGCCAGTCCTTAGCAAAATCACTGATATATGACCACAGCCTTCTGTTCTAAATCTTGATATGACTTACTCCTATTAGATACAAAGCTATATTTTTAAATTTTGTTATAGAATACAACTCTGAATAAATGGCTTCAAATTTGGCCTTAAAATCTAATAGTAGTCATCATGCTTGCTATTATCATCTAGCTCTAGTTTACCTTTCCAATTTTGTCTCTCATCCCTCCTACCTTATATCCCATGCTTCTCTGTACTTCCTTAAAATGCCTGGCTGTCTCTCTCACCTTTCCCGGGAGTTATCTGCATATAATACCTCTGTCTAGAACACCACATCTTCCACTCTTCATCTCTTTATCTCAGGCATTTTTCTATTTTAGAAAGCCTTTTTCTTTACTCACAACAACCTTTCTAAGTCAAGTAACCCTCGTTTGTCTCTCATGTACCTTGTGCCTGATTTCATAAAAATATTCTTCTTTCTGTACAGTATTAATTGGTTGGCTTAATTAGATTGTCCTCCTTAGTAGACTAAAAGTTTTGGAGAGCAAAGGCAATACCCTTTGAATCCATGAATAGTAGATGCTCCATATGTGATTTTGTTGGATAAATGAATGCTTTCTGGAAAAACTATTGGTCAGTTTATTGAAAAGACAGCAAGAATTTGCTACTAAAAGTATTATATTAGCCTCGCTACATTTAATTACAACAGCAATATTATCAGTGAAATGCAGTTCATAGTTTCAGTGTACGGGTCTACTGCTCTGCAAATGCAGGTAATTTTAAGAATAAACATGTATATGGTGCCATTCTGTGCTTTATGTATCTGGCACATTATATTCAGAATTGGATTGCGTTAAACCGGGCTAGCTCATGAACCTATTCTACTTCTTATAATTTCAAAGAAAGAAATGTGTTTTAATGTTGAAATTGTTATTTGAACTAATTTAACCTTATTTAAATTTACTTGTCATCCAGACAGAATAAAAAAGGATTTTGACTGGCTTTGAATTAAAATACACACACACACACACACACACACACACACACACTTAAAAAACAAAACTAAACCAAACTGTAGGAAGGTATTGTTTCATATTTGCTTTGGGAATGAAAAATGTACCAGTGTGTTCATGTCTCCTGTGTTTATAGCTGATGTTTGCATTTGATGCAGTGCCATAATTCAGCATATGGAAATACACTCAGAACAAAGATAATATTGTCTCTCATTTTCATTTTGATTAATAATGTTCTGTCTCTGGTAATTTGTAGGTGTTATTTGGAAGATGGAGCTTCAAAGGGTGCCTGGCTGAACCGGTCAAGTATTATTTTTGCGGGAGGTGATAAGTGGTCAGTGGATCCTCGAGTTTCAATTTCAACATTGAATAAAAGGGACTACAGCCTCCAGATACAGAATGTAGATGTGACAGACGATGGCCCATACACATGTTCTGTTCAGACTCAACATACGCCGAGAACAATGCAGGTGCATCTAACTGTGCAAGGTATGCATTTCCATGTCTGCTACGCTTAGAAATGTTCAATATTTAGATATCAAAATGACTGAGAGGTAGCTGACAGTGTTGAAAGATATGTTGTCATTGTCTTCAGGGATTTATGTTCCTAGATTCCATTAAGTATAATGGCTTTTATAGGCTTACAAATCCCCACTTACTGAGATCAAAAATTATCCATTAACATCACATTATGATTATTTTGTATATGATTCATTTTGTATCTTCCTATGAGTCACCCCTTCAATAAATCTTTGAGAACCCATGGTTGGTACATTAAAATAAATTTTTGATAGCCTATGATGGCTACATTAAAATATTAGAACGTCTTGAAATATGAATAATAACTCTTTAAAAGTAATCCTCAAGCTTTCCAACACTCTGTCTCAATTCAGCTTCTATTTACTTTGATTCAAGTCACAATGAAAAGAAGCAGCCTTCTAGAATTACTTTATTTAAATATAGAATAATTGAAAAAATATGGTTCAATGCTTTATACTTTGATTTACTTTCAGTAGATCATAAATCATGCTAGCTAACTTACAATCTCCAAATATAAACAGAATCATCCAATTATTTTACTTTTCTTGCATACTAAAATATAAGAGCATATTTATCCTCAGCACAAATACATTTCAAGGAAAATATAATTATAATGCTAGTAGAATAGAAAATGTGTATTTTTGCCCTTTTGCATTATATCCTCATGCTTTATAGATAAACCATGTGTTGGTTGCATAGAAATAGTATATTGTGGAACTCAAAATGACATTGCAGCATTTCTAAGTAAAATTAATAACAAATTATATGATAATGTAGTGCCAGCGAATGCATGTTTTATTCCTATCAGGAAAGCTGAATTTGCAAGTTAGTTGTATTATTTCTGAGTTTACCCTTCAAAAATCAACAGTAAATATTAATTTAGGTACATGGTTTACATTCAGAAAAGATTGTTATTCTACAACTTTATTAATTGAGCTTTATTTCCTCACATAAAGGTAAAACTGAATTCAAACAAAGCTTCAATTATTAGTAAATATTTTAACTTTGTGATAATGATTAAACTTATTAAACAATTAACTTTAAGAAGGAAAGTATAAATTGAAGAGTAAGGCAGTGAATTTCCTCAGTGGTTTTCCTTATTACAAATCATTGAAGACTTTGGTGATTTTCCTTATTTAAAAGCATATAAGAAAATAATAAAGTTTTCATAAAAGTCCATCTTCATTCAAAGATTATCCAGAGATTCCAGAGGGCAGTTTATCCAGCTTCAAAAAATGACATGAGATTACAAGATACAAACACATTTCTTCAGTTATCCAAGCCTAATTCTGTTCTCTTGTTTAGTTCAGTGCCTTTTGACTTGAGTTTCTAGTTCAAACACTGCAAAAAAATTTTATTACATGAGGAAAAGTACACTTAGATGGTAATATATTTGAGTCACTTGAGATAAAGACATTTTGCTTCTTATATGTTTAAACAATATACTTCTGAACACTAAAAATATCCCTCTTTCCTTTTTTCTATTCTCTCTTATTCCCTGTTAGGCCCATATTTTTTAATCAGACCCCAAATACATATATATATATATATATATGCATATATATAGAATTTCTTCATAACTTTATATTACATAGGTTGTTTAATACTGTACACAGTTTTAAAACTGTTACATGCCTTACTTTGGCACTCATTTTTGCTGGCCAGTATAAACTTTTGGGTACCATTTTAGGAAGAACATTTTACAAATGCACTTATTGAATTTTTTATCAGTATAATATTTTGTTCCTCTAGAAAAATATAATTTGTGTTACTGTTTTGATGTGTGTGGTTGGGTCAAATTAAAAGCTAATAATTTTACAGCACTTATGAACATAATTACTTATTAGAAGTTGATTGACATGTGGGCATTTTTCCATTTACATTAATAAAGTTCAGGGAACAAATTAATAGGCTTGTCAGTCAATTCAAGAACTAAATAAATATCTTAAAAAGTCAAACCCTACTTAAGCTACATTTCCTCTCAATGAACAAAAATAAACTGATGTGCACATTTCTTCAGTCTCTAAATTTGTTAGGTTGTCTGATACTCAGGAGTATTTGGATAATTTTGAAATATATGTTCGTTGCCTAATAATTTGTCAAGCCTTGATTCAACAAGATAAAGAAATTTAGCAAGTGAGAGAAAGCTATTTATTAATCAATGACATTATCAATCAATAATGTCAAACACATATTGGCTGGTAAAAACAAAGCTCATCTTTAATTGTTGAAACTAGGTACTCAAGGGAGCTATTTTTAAAAACTCATTTTAGAAAGGGGATAATCAAAAGGATATCTTGCCCACACAGACTTTGCGCATGGGAAATTTGTTTATGTTATTGATTTCTCAGAGCTATTAATATCAATAAATGGAATAATTGGGGAGAAAAGACACTGGAGTAGGAGTTGGAAAACCTGGATTCCAATCCTGAATTTTCCCTCACGAAATGGGTAATTCTCAAGCCTCTCTAAACTTTAGTTTTCTCATTTGAAGGAAGAGGATTCAGATCAGAAAAACTTAAGGTCTGTTCTAGTCAAAAGCAAAAAGATAAATGACAGGGGGAAAAAAATCCACTGTGACTGTTTGCTTTTGATTTGAAAGGGAAAAAGTTTTTTAAGTTAAAACATGAAAAAAAAAATTTCATAACACTTGTACTGAGAACCATGCAAACTAATTTTTACACAGTAGCGCCTTCTAGTATTTATTCTGCAAGTGCGCTTTATTTATCTCCATGTTTTTTTTCACCAACTGAGCTGAACAATGTATGTACTCACAGATTTGAAGAATGTGGTGAATTGGGGTTTTGCTTCAAGGGGGTGGAAACTGGCTGATAGATTTAGTAAGAAAATAAATTTTTCATCACCTGTATATAGCGCTGTTAAATCAAGTTACCTAATTGTCCGGTGTTTCAAATCATGTGGTGTAGCATTTACTAAGAGTATCCTTCTTGTTCATGAGTATAAACATGTATGCAGCTTGAATACTTGTTATGAAGGGAGATCCCTATTACAATACTGTTTTGAAATGAAACATAAAATGTAAATGCTTTCCATTCAAAAATATAACACAATGGTTTCTACTTTAAGTCCATGTCTAGAGTCTAAGGTGTATGCAGCACAAAATAGACACCCCAAAATATTGTATAATAACTGAATATACATACAACAGCCTCAGCCAACACCTCGACTGCAGCCTTGTGAGACTGAATAGTTAAGATGTGCCAGGACAGAAACTGAAATAATAAGTGTATATTGTTTTAAGATACACACACACGCACACACACACACACACACACACACACACATACACATACACAAACACATTCACACACACACAATATATGGAACATTTATCATTCAACTCATGCCCTTCCAGGGAGATATACTCTAGGTTTTCTCTAGGCAGGTTAGAAGGAGGGATGACTAGCACATAAGCCTATGAGCAAAATAATTTCTCAAGGGTGGTTTAACTTGCTGAGTGTGTCCTAATTTCCTCAGGGTATTTTACTTACCTAAAATATTTGTGATAGACGGGGTGCTATGCTTCCCTTTTCAAGGATGGGCTTGTGTTCCTAGCTGCTGTGAGTGCCATCAGCAGACAGCATATAGTGGTCAGCCCTTTCAAAGTTAGCCTCAGCTGTAGAGAGGCAAAGCCTAGTTCTGCCTAGAGCAACAACGTCTGATGACTGATTAAAGCCGGGAGTATAAAAGCCTCTCCCTTTCAGCCTGAGGAGGATAACTGTGATGGGCTATTTTGGCTTGAGAGCAGCTGAAGCTATTGAACAGCATCCACTACAGCTCAACTTCTTGCTCTGTTCAATCCTACCTTCTTCTTTTTCCTTCTCCAGCTATTTATCACAAGACTATTCCCTAATAAATATCCTAATTTTACATTCCATCTCCTTTCAACTCAAAGATCCGTAACTATGACCATGTTAGATCCTTGCCTCTGGCTTAGTCATCGTTTAGAGAAAATCTTCGTAAAGTGGAAAGACAACACATTCAAATACCATTCATTATTAACATTGTTTTACATTGGTTGGGAATTTAAAGTGGCTTATACCAAAGTATTCAGTACACCAAGGCAATTAGGAGAAATCAGAAGCAAAAGATAAGGTAAGAAGAATAGGATGCAGCCAGATGTAATAGATTATTACATTTTTAAATGTAATATATAATGTATTAAATGTATAAAATTTTTGCCATGATTTCTATATATTTTTAGAGCTTGGTAAAAATTTTAGTTCTAAGATTTCTAGCACCCAACACAGAAAGAGAAACAAGAGCAGTTATTCATTCCATGGCCCTGAAGGTTAAAACTTCTATTTCTTAGTGCTCTGGTCCTGTTACTCAGGGAAATAATTTGACCGTGAGTCATCTCAGAATATCATTGTGAACTGTAAGGAATATTTCAACAGTAACTGTATGGCATGCACAGAACTCATTCGTAGGATTGTTCTTTATAACACCTCTCAACGTAACCTGAAGTGCAGGGAAGTATAATTTTTTTTTTAATCTAAAAATAAATTTAACAAGATGCTAATTCAATAACAGTGAGATTGCTTTTTGATTATTCCTTAATCTATGAGTAAATTTTAGAGCTTATCCTTCCTGAGTCAAACTTTCACAATTATTATTTCTCTCAGTGGGTCTTTGAATAGGAATTCAGGTACAGATAGTTCAAAATTATACTTACTAATGAGTATCTGGAGAGCAATTATTCTATGTGGCCACAAGTTTAGAGCCATATTCTTTAAAGACCAACATATCTTAATCAAATGCTAACATCCTTTTTATGAATATTAAAGCCCACACAAGGAACACACTGGCAGAGAAAGACACCACACTTCTGCTCCAAGTTGAGCTGGCTGGCAATAACGCAGCATCACAGGACATGGGCCCGCCTTCCTCAAAAGACCCAAAGGGGAGAAAAGCTATAATGGTCAAAA